ATCACTGAGGTCTTTGTGAGGTCAGAGAACAAAAAGGCATGACTCATGGCTCTAAGTGACTACTCCGGTCTTCCTTTCTGTCCACACAGATTCTTCTTTATCAATAAGCTTTGGAAGCTTTATGTTTCACTAGGTTGTATATAGTGTTATTTACTTATTTAGAAATGAAAATGAAGGGGCTGGGAAGGTGGTCAGTAGTAGAGCACTTGCCTTGCATGCCTGGGTTCGATTCCTCAGCACCACATGAGCAAAAAGAAAAAAGCCGGAAGGGGCGCTGTGGCTCAAGTGGTAGAGCGCTAGCCTTGAGCTGAAGAGCTGAGGGACAGCGCCCAGGCCCAGAGTACAGGCCGCTCGACTGGACCCTAAAAAAAATAATAAAGAAAAAAGAAGAAATGAGAATGTATTCGGTACACCCAAAGACCTTTATGATTCAAGTCTGAAAACTACAACAAAAGCTGGACTCCTTTGTCTTTTAGCACTCATAGTATTGTGTGGGGCCTGTTGGCTCATGCATATAATCCTGGCTACTCAAGACAGAGAAAGGAGATTGTTACCTACCTAGGCAGACACTCAGAGAAATTTATATCACAAATTAACCAGTAGTTGTTAAGATTGAATTTCTCCTTTCAAGAGGTTTTTTTGTCTGTAATTGAAGGTCACTAGAGGAGTCAAATATAAACATTGAGTCAAATATAACTATACAAGTAATAGGAGAGAATAACATGCTCCTGAATATTCTCACATTTGTAAGTTTAGCTTTATAACCAACTCTCCTTCCTAAACCGCCTTTATCCAGTTAGGAAATAATTTAGCTTCTTAGTTTTTAATTTTTTTATCATTATTATAAAAATGATCTACCGAGGGATTAGTTATGTAAGTCAGGTAAAGAATACGTTCCTCTTTTTATATTTTTATATGTATATTTTTTATTGTAATGATTATCACAAACGTAATATACAGATGGGATACAGTCACATAAGTCAGGTAAAAAAATATGCGTTTCCTTTGAGACAATGTCACCCTCTTCCCTCACTCTCCCCCAGTTATTCCCTCCTGTCCCCACCCACTAGTTGCATACATCATTTGGAACATGGTGTCTAGGGAATACCACACTGCTGCATTAAAGACAAAAGAACGTCTATGTTCACTCACATGTGAAATGTTGATCTACCAGAATATACATTCAAAGGCATGTACATGTTTATGCATAAATAATGATACTATACGCACATGTATGTGTATATGTGTATGTGTGTGTGTGTGTATTTTTATATATGTATATGGACAAACTACAACATGAATGCAACTAAGGAGCTATTGGGAGAAAAGGGCAATGGAGAAGGAATAGAAGAAAAAACACTGTTGAAAATTAGTCTTATGAACACAGCATAAATAACCACAAATAAAGCTGTTGGTCAACAGAGAAATGAAGGCACAGGAAAACAGAAATACACTATTGGGGGTGTGGATACTAGCACAGTGGGGTTGGGCTAAAAACGATGGAGGAGGTTGAATATGCTTGAAATGTATTATTTCCAAGTAGAAAAAAATGAATAATAAAATGTGTTGAAAATGTTTTTGGATGTAGTGCATGTGGTCAGGTAAGAGATAAGAGACTGTGGACATTTGGAATAACTGTAACCATATAAAAGATAATAAGGAAATGCTCTAATGTTTAACTAATATGTTGTTAAAATTTTATTAAAAAGGCCCAAGGTTTCACTGCTCTGGTGTGAAGGAGTCACAGATTCTATCAGGAGTTCTATGTCTTAATTCTTCAAAACTGGAATGATTAGGGAAAACCTGTGCAACTCTAAAACCCCAAAGTCAGGACTATGATAAGTTTCAAACCCATGCAAACTAAAAATGAACACACCTGCATTCCATCACTTAATCACTCATTCAATACATTTGTGATCTACTATTACTCCCACAACTCTAAAGCCCCACACCCAAACATCAAAACCATCACAGCAAGAAGCAGCCTTACTCTTACCTACAACATGTAGACTCCAAAACAACAACGTAAGATATTTTCACTGTGTTCACATAAACTACTGTGCCCAGGAATTTTACCTGTATTGAAAGAAAAGAAAACCAAGTATAGTCAGTGTTTCAGTGCTCTGTTTTGGGAATGCAATCCCAGTGGGTCTTTCAGAGGTCACAGCAAGAAACGCACCAATTTTGGTTTTCAATTGCCACAATAAGCTTACTCTTTCTGTTCCCAATGGACTATTGTCAACATTCCAATAAAAAATATGGGCTGGGAAGGTGGCTCAGTGGTAGAGCGCTTGCCTTGCATGCATGAGGCCCTGGGTTCGATTCCTCAGCACCACGTAAGCAAAAAGAAAAAAGCCTGAAGTGGCTCTGTGGCTCAAGTGGTAGAGTGCTAGCCTTGAGCTGAAGAGCTGAGAGACAGCGCCCAGGCCCAGAGTTCAGGCCTAACGACCGGACAAAAAAAATACTAAGTAGCAGCCACTTTATATTTCACTGGGTTGTGGATAGTATTATTTACCCATATAGAAAACAA